ATTAAGTGAATTAATTACTTATACTAGCTTCAATTCTTATTTGCAATCTAAAATTACGTAACGAAAGTTAGTAACGAAAGTCAGTAACAAAAGTCTGTAACGAAAATGTGAATCTAATTGCTTATTTAGGTTTAATTAGAATGTTAGAAACGAGATATAAGTCTAGTTACTAATTAGAATTTTCTTTTATTATAATTTAAAGAGCTGTATTAGAAATATTAACATTTAAGTGTAAATTTAATGATTTGTTTAAATATTTCACTTTTGTAATCTAATTTCTTATTATAAAATAGATTTTAATTTAATAAGAAGTTAAAATGTATTCTGTATAGATTATTAAACATAATATTATCATGATAAGCATTGTGCATTCCTACCGCCTGGCGGCGCTACTTGTATGTAAAGCGGAAAAAGCTTAGCTACTACGGAGCTAAACCGTAGGAAGACCGCGCCACTATTTTTATTTTTTACAAACGTAAATTAAGAGTTTTAAGAATGTTTAATGTTCGAAATAATAAAGATTATCTCTACTGCCAGGAATGTATAAAAACATTGTAAGGTATGTTTTACCACACATACTAAAGAAATTTGTAAATTTCCTTTAGAAAAGGTCGTTCTGCGCTCTGATTGGTCGACGGGAATCATTAGGCCGGGAAATCATTATGCCGTGTGCAAATTTTATTAATTCTGATTGGTCACAGCTGCCTATAAAAAAGAGGCGTTTTTTGTGGTAAAACATTTCAAATCCGGCAATGTAGAATAAGGAATCAAGAAAATAAATAAGAAGAAACTCTGAAGAAATGTTATTTATTGCTCATCTAACTGCAACTGCATGCTCTCCAGTTATCATCTCGCCAGCATAATCCGCTCCATTTACTAACTTTCTCACACACGAGAATCTACATTATTTTTAAATAAGCTTTTATTGGACCTTTTTTTTAAAGAATATTAACAATGCTATAAACATTACTAATATTCCCCTTAACCACTCGTGGTAAGCTTAAATTGCTTGTGTTACGGGTGGTTCACGCCAGTAATCGAATGGCGGATTCGAACCCACGACCTTTTTGAGTTCGCGGTCCGCGTCCTGCCATTAGGCTACTGTCGCTTTTATTACTAAATAAGCGAGAAAACGGCATTCGATCCACGTCGGCCGTGATGTAATTGTTGATTTCAATTATAAGTACTGATTAAATATGTGCTAAAACATCGGAAGGCACGTGCTTTTCTGAGAAATTATAACAATGTTTTATACAAATGCTATTGTGTTTATGGACTTAACACGCCCTGGCAATAAGGCTACAGCTATTGTAATAGCACAATTATAAAATATCATTTTTGACACAATTAAAAAAAGATTTTATTGTTATGAAATGTCTGTCAATGTACAAAATTTTTCTAGATATTGTACTAGAATAGCAGCAAATTACTTAATATTTTCCTATAATTAAGTAAAGTGAATGTATGTACTTAGATACATACAAATGTATATATCTCATTAATAAAAATTATAATATTAAATTAAACTTCACAATACCAATAAAGTTGTTAATTGCGTATTTGATTGCTCATTTACCACGTCAGCGGTTAAGAAAATCACCGTGGGAAAACCTCCATGTCTGAAAAATTCAAAAAAAAATTCAATGACGTGTGAAACTCTCCTACACGCTTTTGGGCAGCACGGTGGACGTTTCCTTGCCCTAAATTCTCTCAAACTATCAAAAATAATTATTGATTTTTGTGGTAACAAAAAAATGTTAAAAATATCTACGTACCATAACTTAGTATAGGTTATTGTTAAAAAGCAAAAGAAGGTATATTTTGATCGATAAACTAAATAGACGATGAATTTCGATACGAACGGTAATTATAGAATTCAAAATTTATAGAAGCAGCACCACCGTATAACATTCAGTTAACGTGAAAGCATTACGGGCACAATGATTACATTAATATTCATGTGCGGCCGAAAGCCACAACGATTAAAGGGCTGCCCTGCGCTGTGTACGTGTGCTGTAGTCACTGAAAAGCCGCGTAGATTTGACACATCTTTGATATCGAAAAGTCAATGGATCTTTATTTTACATATGTTACGCCTAAAGGCCGAAATGTGGTTTCACCTAAGTTTAACCGACTGCAGCTACATTGTAAAACATAAGATTTTTTTTTCAAATAATTAATAACTAATATAACTGCTTTAACCTTCTGTCGCATAAATTACTTGATTTGAGCTTTTGTATTGTTGACAAATTGAAAAAAGTCATAGTTACATACATTTAAAACAGAATATTATAATGCTAACTCCACTTTTATTACATCTTAAATTCAAGGAAGAGAAAAGAAAAAGAGGTATGTTATATAAATAACAAAATAAATACGGTACATGTACATGATTGAAGTGTTATGGTTACTACCGAAAGGTTATGAATTAGAGGCTTAATGCCTAGCTTAGGCACCAGTCTCACACCCTATAACGTAGAGCTGAATTACTTTTACATTTTGTACAATAACTGTGTTCTATTGTGTGTGTTGAGAAAATATAATATATTTTCTCAACACACATACAATAATATATGAACCATTATTATTATAGTTATAATTATTGTTTATTATATAATACAAAAAACCATAAACGAGTCCTAGTCTGACGGAAAGTGGCTTCTTTAGTTCATCTCTTTGCATCTTCAAAGAAAGAAGACATACATGCGTTGTCTTGTTTTTCGATTCGTGTTTTAAAGATGTTAAGATTGCGAAATAACTCTTAACATCTTCAATATAATGGATTTTCGCAAAATAACGCCTGATTCTATTTATTCGTGTTTTTATAAACATTGGAATATAAAACTTGTGGCATATTAATCTCTCTGATGATAGACCACGTCGCCGTCACATATTTTAAATAAAGTAACATTAACTGATGAAATTGGAATTGGCGACGTGTAGTGGCGGCATCGGAGAATCCTGTACCCACACAATCATAAAAACAGGAGATGGCAGCAGTATCATCCTGATAACAAACTAAAATAATTAAAAAAAAAAACTGCGGTTGCAAACCCTCAAGCCAAGTGTGGCGACTAAGGCAGATATCGTCCCTATGAGTTGTAGATTTGATGTCATAAGAGCTTTCATCATCATCATTATAGCCCATCACATGTCCACAAACATGACCCTAAGCCACCTGCATCCATCGGCTTACCATATAAATAATTTTATACGTAGTAGAGCCATGTTGCAGTTATATTAGTAGTATAGTTGTAGCACGAATGGGTCGGCTCGACCGGGGAAGGACCACGCTCTCACAGAATACTAGCGTGAAATAGTAGCTTAATGCTGCAGTGTTTCGTATGGTGAGTGTAGAGAACCGAAGACCCCTTTTACTGGAAACGAAGAATTCCATCTTAGCCCTCACGGATGACAACGTATTTGCATTTTGATTTGTAATCGAAGACAGATGTAGATGTCTACGAGCCGCAGCAATCACTTACAATCAGATGGACTGTGTGCTCGTTTGTCACCCTATCTTATGGAAAAAAAATAGAAATTTATTACTAGGTCGTCACTATCTAAAGCTAAGAGCACAAGGGCTTTAAATTTATGGTGAACTTCAAGAGGTTGTGATGTTGATGAAATGGCACAACATCCTTATGTACCTCTCATCTTAATCGCACAGGTGTTATATCAAACTACTATTACGGTTACTAATACTGATGGTAGTGCTTCTTTTCGGTCTGAGAGTCCATCTGAGTATGTGTCACCCTCTTACCGATATCTGAAGTCGAAGAGCAGTGCTTGCAATGCTGTGATCCGGTCTGAAGTGTATAGAGAGCCAATATGATAACAGGTTGTGAGGCATTCCATCTTAGTCCTCAGTGGTGATATCCGTAGTTTTCTTTGTTTGAAATGCTGTAGTATCCACTTACCATCAGGTAGAGAGTAGTCTAGTATGGTATCTGACAAACAAACTTACAGTTCCTTTGTTACTTTCTCTTTATAAAAAAATGGTTGACCCTCCAGTCCATCCATGAAACGTCCCGCTAATTACAAATGCAAAGCGCTCCAAATTTCACCAAGTTATGACGTTGAATATGAAATATCGGAATAATTTAAAAAAAAAACATTTTTTTCCCAAAATTTTTCGTTAACGATATCTCACGAACGAATCAACCGATTTTGGCCGGACCGGCAGTGATCGACGTGGTTTTTCAAGTTTAAAAGCTGATTAGTTTTTGGAATCGATCGGTAAAAGTTGTACCAAAAAGAACGGTTTTTCAAATTTTTTATTTTTTAAGTTTTCTCAAAATCTATCGGTTCGAATTAGTTTGATGAAATACTTTAGCACATACATACATACATATAGACACCAAAAATTGTCAGGGTGGCTTCCTGTGACCTCAAAACGTCAAGATTTGATGAAAACTCAATTTTAGGAAAACAGGGTAAAAACAATAACTTCTCGATTTTTTAAAATTTTTATTTTATTCATTCTGATTCTTCGGTAAATAGCAACGTAGTATAAAATCAGCCAGGAGGATTAATTTTTGTCGCTCATTATATTATTTCAATAAAGTCTCTTTTATTGTAAAAGATTACCGTGTAAGTTGACAATATAAAAATATGTAAAATTTAAATCATATAATAATTTTGGTTTTATCTGTTACATCATTTGTTTAATAAATATTGTATTTTTGGTCGCCGATATAACTAGTCAATAGCATTGCCTTAGTAGCGGCAGCTGGCAGCTGTGTAGCGGTGGGAGTCTCTGAAGTGTTTTTGTCGGAATTGGTTTTTGTCCCTGTTAAGTTTTGGACTAGGGATCAATGTTTTTATAGGCATTGATAAATGTTAGAAAGCCTGTGCAGTCTCTACGACTATATCACGTTTTACATCAATTTTTTTAAGGTCGACAATTTCACTTTTACATAGCGTGATAATTTAGATCTAAAATATTATTTAAAAATATTAATAATTGTTTTATAAATATAACGTCACAATATACTTACAGGTGGTCCTGCCTCTTAAAAGCTTTCGCGCACGTGATGCACACGTACTTGCGTTCATCGCTGTGTGTCAACTTGTGCTTGGCTAGTGCTGACGCGTTGCCGAATACTTTGTTGCACACCTGTCGAAATTATTAATATCGATTAGACCCTGCAAATCATTTTGGACTAAAATTTAAATTTAAGTTTCAATAACAATAATCAGTAACTCCTAGAAAAACATGAAAATTATTTTCTACAAAACAATTAATTTTTCTTTTATACAAAAATAAAATGTAATATAGAATTAAAATTACTTAAATAAAAATATTTTCAACCCATCATAAGTTATCTTCATGCGCAAAATTATACTTAGGGTGAAACTTTGACTTAAGACTACTTGTTAATAATGAAACATGTACAAACTATAATTATAGTCTTTAGTATAAAGTTCCAAATTGAATACTTTTTAGTGTTAAATATTCGTAGACTCCTAGACTAAATTTTGCGTAATTGATTTCATGGTAAAATAAATGATGACTTCAAATATTTTAAGTAAGAAATTTTTTAATTGTAAATAAGTTTATAAGTCTTGATTAAATATCTTCTTCATTTTCAACAGCCAACAAAAGTCATTGGCAGCATAGCAGTGGATTTTGAAAGGCGACAATGATAATGATGATGATAGTCGAGACGAAAATTAACACAACTTATTGATTTTTTGTAAATATACAAACTGCGTTAAAATGAAACCCAATTTTTTTATTTATATAACATGTTCAAAATTTATACTAAATAAAGTTATTGAAATATATTTTTAAACACTTGAATTAAGCCCGATCTGTATGTACGTGGAATTTCTGGAATTTAGTTCTCCCCCACTTTTAGACGCATGAATTATCTGAAATTTTGTACCCGTATTAAGAACAGATGACCTAGTATTCGCACTAAGATCATTACAGTGATTGAAGTGAATCGTGTTGTTTAGGTTAAATTAATCTTTAATACTATTTCAAATTATAATAGAATTCGTTTATGAATTTGTTATTTACGGTTGCAGTGCACAAAAATGCATTAATTTTATCTCGGTGGTAAGACCACCACTGAAATGAAATTACTCCAATATTAAGTTGCGAGGTGTAATAACATGAAAACGGGTCGGAACAAGTCCCCCGGCGGCCGCTGACCCTAATAACGTGTTTGTTTCTCATCTAATTAAGAAGACCTTTAGCTTTCTTAACCTGTTTTCATTTGGAATGACCGCGGGCTTTCAAGACACTTTTAATTTCCAGTGTTATTTCATTTTCAAGACATCTATAAAGAGATTAAAATAGATTGCTTGCACGTAGATTTGTTTAAAGGTATTTTATTTTGAGGCTTATATATTGAAACAGTTATTAAGACTAACGTAGTTGTAAAGTGATCGCCAAGTGCCGTGCCTCATTGCATATTGCAGAATTTCACATTCTTTCAAAATTTTTAATATTTTAGACATGCATGCATACTCAGCAAATAATGGTTTACGGGGTAGAGTCACACTCAGCGTATTATATCTGCAGAACGAATAAGTCGGCTCAAATGGGGAGAGACCACGTTCGCACTGGGTACGAGCGTAGCATAATGCTGCAGTGTTTCGTACGGCGGGTGATAAAAACCGAAAGCCTTTTTTACTGTTAACGAGGCATTCTGTCTTAATTTTTACCTGTGATAAAGCAAGTGAGAAGGTATAGGATATAGCATTTACTTACCATAAAATGGATTGTGTGCGTAATTGTCATATTTACTACTATAAAAATAATATAGTTAATAAAACTAATAATTCGGTATAACTATCGTCGGTGCCAACGAGTGGCGGCCACGCCTTATGCCCCACGGAACGGTGTTCACTCTGAGCTTAGACTAATATTTCTAATATTTACTGAAACTACTTTTAATCATTATCATCATCATCATCGTCATCAGCCTGCGGTGGTCCACTGCTGGACATAGGCTCGATCATAGGTACTTAGCTCGATCTTCAGCTACGCTTATCCAATTTCTATTGCTACTGTTGAATAACGCGATAAACTTTCCAAATTCGACATTTAGGAAAATATGCTGACAACATAATATAATATATGGTCACGCACTCAGAAATTTCTCCAACCAAAAGCTATTGTTGGTGCTATGTTATTATGGCCGACATCTGAATATTTTACGACGGCTCCAGACTTCTGCGCTGAAGTTTTCTTTCCCATAACAATAAAAAAGCACGACCAAACAAGGAATTGGGTCAACGTTTTCTTACCTTATCGACATATTGCACAGACGAATCGTATTACCGTCGGATAAATACAGATTTAGAGAATTTGCAATATTTAAAGTTATTTAGAAATGTTAAAGAATAAAATGAAAACTTTCGAGCTTTCGAGATTTTGTAATTTTGCTTCTTTTCGTATATTTGTAATTTTTGTTTTTCATTTGGTTTAAGTAAAACATAATTTTGCGCGATTCTTCTGAACACGGGCCAATTCCATTGTAGGGAGGATTCGCTGCATCGCCACGCTTTTTGGCGGATTTTTTTTTAAATTTGAGAAATAGTATATGAATGCATACTTAATACATAAGATGAAGGCAATGAGGGTAGATCTTTAGGGAATAGAAAGACCACAAAATAAAGGGAGCAAGACTTTCAAGAGCGAAACATAAATAATTAAGAAAATATTTCAAGCAGGCGAGGCTACACGCGCGGTAACTAAGCGTGGTAACTATGGCAAAATCTCCCCGATGAGGCAATCTGTACAGGAGTGGACTTTTATGGATAATCCAATGGATAGAATTGACGGAAAGTAGGCTGGCAAAATATTGTCTTGAAAAAAAAAGAAGAATAATTATAGTAGTGAGAAAACCTCAAACAACCGATGGGAAAGAAAGGTTCTTGTGTGGCAGCCTCGCAATGGTAGGCGAAATGTAGGTCAGCCCCCCACTAGATGTATTGATGACCTGGTAAAACATGCAGAAGTCGATGGATGCGGGATGCGGATGGGTGGCTTAGGACTGTACTTGGTTGCATTATTTGGGGGAGGTCTATGTTATGCAGTGGATTTGTGAAGGGCTGTAATGATGAATATATGACTAGCGACCCGCCCGCCTGAGCAAGAAATTTACATTTTTATTTAAAAAAAAAAAGCAGTTTGATCGATTTAGAGTTTGTCGCTTTGGTATTGATAGTTATTGTTACGAAAATAGTAATATATATGTATATATATATTTATATATATATATATATATATATATATATATTATAAAATTATATGATATTATAGTATTATAAAGTTTACTACACGGTTTCAAATAGAAAAGTGAAGGCACTAAGAGTACCTCGGTTAACATTGAATTTTTTTATCCGGCATTGTTTGTTTTTCAATCTTTGCCATCTTTGCCTCTTTATAAGTATAGTCAATATTACCAAGTAACGTATATAGGCTTCACGAGTACTGCGGCTCACGTTTCTATAGTTTCGGCAGACCATGGCTAATTGGACGGCGTACAACCCGGTTCTATTGAGCTCAGATATCGGTGATATCGATACCTCTTCTGCTTTGTTTTGAAATAGTAGCGATGACTTTTACATGTAATTTTATACTTATATTTTATTGTTATTAAGGGAAAAGTAGTCCTATTCGATTAGATAAGTAATTTAGTTGCAATTATTTTGCATATAATATTGTATTTTGTATGTTAAAATAAAAACAATATCTTTCCATTCAGGTTAATGAATGTCACGCTAAAAACAAGAGTGATATCAGGCCGAAGCACAGGCGTCCCGGTATGAAACACAATCGCATTCAAAAAGAAGTACAACTTCGACGATGAGGGAGGACGATAACCGAATTGCACAGGAGGATTGTAACCAAACTGCATAGGTATACTAGCTAACTGCGACATGTGTTACAGAGTTAATATCGGTTTATACGCACTTTTACCGATATTCTCTTCTATTTAAACTCTGAATTTACAAGCTATATACCTATTGCCTTCATCTTAATGTTCTACAAAATAACGGAGTCTTAAAATTTACTTGCTTGGCTTGAATGAAAGTCAAGTCTTCGTTAAGTAAAGTCTCCGACTGGGGGCGATAATATTTGGTCCAGTTAAACCATCAGAAATAACACGTTAGCGCGTTCACCGCTAAAAGGAACTTGTTTATTGCATCTTCTCAATGTCTGGACACGTTGTACGTAACGACATAAGTCGGATTGTGTTTATCGGCCTTATAGTGACAATATAATCCATCAATCGATCAATATTTTAGATTAAAACTTAGTTTGAATTAACTGTAAAGTTCATTGAAGTTAAAAAATCGAGAAATTCATTTATATATGAAAGGTGTGTGTAACAGAAGGATGCGCTTGCGATTCTTCCGCCGGGCTCAACCCGGCCGGGTGCTTTAAATTGTTTATGTTGAAATACCGCGAGTTCAAGCTAATCCAAAACTGACTGTTCTAGCACCTACGCCATTTACTTTTAACTGTGGTGGGAGCAGTTATTCTTTCATGCAGTACATTTTGGTGATTTCGCTTTAATAATACTTTGTTACGAAAATGGCTTCTATGGTGTCTTCAATAAATTGAAATAGGGGAGTGCCAGCGTCTAATTTTTCAAATAATCTATTATCTAATCTTATTTCGGTAACTATATGCTACCTGAATATGTATAATGCTCTGAATTATGTTACCGTTCTTATTAAGTTTTTAATTATTTACTTATAATAACTACAATTGTTCTTTTCAACTGGATGGGATTCCAAACTATAATGATTTCTTATATTTACGCGAACACTACACATTGATTAAAACTACTTTTACGGATTTGATCGCGTTTAATTTTAATTTTAATTATTTTTAATTTCCGACGTTTCGGGTGCTTTCCAGCACCCATGGTCACGGGGGACTGAGGTGACTGACGTCCCGATGTCATTGTTAAATCCGGAGTACCTTCAACTTTTTTTACCATAAACAATAATTAAAAAAGCTGAAGGTAAAAAAAATCCGTAAAATTAGTTTTATTCAATGGGACTCCAAACTATCAAGTTAAATTACTACAAGTTACATTAAAATTCAATTAGATTAATTTATCTATTTAAATAACTGTAAAATAATTC